CCCTCCCTCTTCTCTCTCTCTCCCCCCTCCCCCTCTCTCTCTCTCTCTCTGTCTGTCTGAGCAGCTAGACTTCAAAGGAGGGCTCCAGTGAGTGACGAAATTAAACCCAGACCACAAGAACAGACTTTGGTGGTTCTACGTAATATATACATACGTACACACTTGCAATACAGCATCCTCGATATCCCACTCTCGGTGCAGCATCCTCGTTACAGGATTGTCCATGCAGATTTCTCGATACAGTATTTTCGATACAATATTCTCGATGCAGCATTCTCCATTATAGCGTCCTTGCATACAGTATTCTCGATACACATATCATTTCGATTCATACATAAGTTTCGATTATAACATTCTCGATCCAGTATCCTCATCAGCCCGCCAACTACGCATCCTCGACTCAGCTCCCGAATACACCTATCGCCATTACCACCATCCCAATACTACCCATCCCAAAAATACGCCATTCCCCAACCACCATCCTCAATACTAGCGAATCTCAACTACACCATCCCCAACTACACATTCCTCAATTACTATCAACCCCACTACAGCATCCCAAATACCACCATCCTCAAACCACACCCCACATAATCATCCCATCCCCAATACACCCATCCCCAACAAGCATCCTCTAATACACTCATCCCCAGATAACAATCCCAATAATACACTACCCAATAACCACATTTCTTCCCCAATACACCATCCCCAATACACATCCCCCAACTACACATCCCCCAATACACCATCCACCAATCACCCATCCCAACCAGCCACCCCCCACTACACCCACTCCAGTACAGTATCCAATCCAGATCCCAATACACCATCCCCAATTACACCATCCTCAATACAGCATGCCCCCACACCCCTCAATACACCTCCCCACCCTCCCCTCACCATCCCCCATCACACATCCCCAATACGCATCCTCAACCCAGCATCTCTTCCAATCACGCCTCCCCCCAATCGTATCCTCAATACAGCATCATCAATATCCCCTCCCACCCCATCCCCCCCATAATCAACACCATCCTCATAAGATCCTCCCAGACCACCATCCCTCCAAACCATTCCCCAATACACCATCCCCAATACACATCCCCAAAACAGCTATCCCCAATCACACTATCCTCGATACACACATCCCCCAACTACACCATCCCCCAATACACCATCCTCAATACAGCACCTTCAATACCACCATCTCATACCACATCCCCAATACCTTCCCCCTCCAACCCTCCCCATACACATCCTCCTACAGCATCCGCCAATACAACCATCCTCTCATACAGCATTCCCAACTACACCATCCATCAACACCATTCCCCAATACACATCCCCAATTCACACCCCCAGATTACACCACCTCCTCCAACACAGCCACCCTCACCAATCTCAATTCACCATCCCCAACTACACCTATTCCTCAATACACCATCCCAAATACACCACTTCCCAATACAGCATCCCTCAATCACCACCCATCCTCAAACACCATCCCCAACACAGCACCCCCACAATACCTACCCTCCCCAATACACCATCTCCCATACCAGCATCCTTCCCAATACAGCATCCTCCATACACCCCCTCAACGACACCATCTCAATACACCACCCCAATACTCACTCATCCCCAAAACACTATCCCCAATCACACTCCCCAATTTACGGCATTCCTCACTACAGTATGCCCCCAACACCACTATTCCTCATACACCATCCCCAATACATCCATCACCCAATACACCATCCCTCAATCACACCATCGTCAAATACCCAGCCATTCCTCAATACAGCATCCCCATACACCTCCTTCCAGCATTCCCCAACCCATCTCAATCACACCCATCCCCAATACACCATTCCCCAAACAACCATCCCCTCAATACAGCCCCAATACACCATCCTCGATCACACCATCCTCCAATACACCCATCCCCAAGTGGAGCACCATCCTCAACTTAACAGATCCTCAATACACCACATCCCCAAAACCATCCCCAATTACACCATCCCCACTACAGCATTCCCAATACACCCTCCCTCAATACAGCATTTCGCCAATAACCACCCAATCCTCACTACAGCCATCCCAATACACCCATCCCCAGCACCATCCCCACAATACACATCCCAATACACCATCCCACAAACACCCATCTCCCAATACACCATCCCCATATACACCATCCCCAATACACTATCCCCAACACACCATCACTCAATTACACCATCCAATACACCCATCCCCAATACAGCCATCCTCAATACACCCATTCCCCAATACACCATCCCCGCACAGCTATCCCCAATACACCCCCCAATACACCATCCCAATCACAGCATCCCAATTAACTCCCCCAACAACACCACCCCTCAAACACATCCCCAACTACACCATCCCCCAAAATCCCCAATAAAGCCCAGTGCTCTCATCAAACACCATCCACCAACTACTACAGCATCTCTCAATACAGCCATCCCCAACTACACCATCCTAATACACCCATCTCAATCTACACAATCCCCAATACACCAATTCCCCAACACAACCATCTCCAATACCACTCCCCAACAGCATCCTCCAATACAGGATCCCAACCCATTACCCCCAATACACCATCCCCAATAAAGCATCTCAATACTAGCATCCCCAAGTAATCATTCCTCTCAATCACACCAATCCCAATATCACCATCCCAACACCACGCTCTCCCCAATACACCATCCCCAATTACCTCAAGCGTCCTAATACAGCGTCCATCCCCAATACACCATCCCCCACCAATAACCATCCCAATTACAGCATCCCTCCAATACAGCATCCCCAATACAACCCCCACATACACCATTCCCCAATACAGCATCCCTCAATACCAGCATTCCCCATTCATCGACATCACCCATACACCATCCCCAATAACAGCATCACTCTTACACCAATCCCAAAAATCATCCAATTCTACCATTTCATCCCAATACAGCATCCTCCAAACAGCCCATCCCAATAAATCATACACCATCCCCCAATTACAGCCATCCCCCAACACTGCATCCTCAATACCACCACTTCTCACTACAGCTCCCCAATAAATCATCCCAATTACACCATCCCCAATCTACCACTCCCAATACAGCTCCTCAACAGCATCCCCCAATAACACACCTCAAGATACATCTCAATACCCCACCACAAACCCCAACCCAATACGCATCATTCGAGAATACCACGTCCTCCCCGTCACCTCCCTATACTTCATATACATACACCTCCCCATTACTACACCATTCCCCCACATACACCCCTATCCCCAATAATACAATCCCCAATACCCATCCCAACACCATCCTCGATACACCCATTCCCCATACAGCATCCCAATACACATCCCCCTCCCATCCTCAATACACATCCAATATACCAATCCCCAATACACCATCCCAACACATCCATCCTCACCCATCCCCCATACACCATCTCTAATACCACCATCTCACACTATCCCTCCCTCAATACACCACCCAATACAGCATCCCAATACATCTCCAATACTCCTCTAATACACACTCCCAACTACAGCCATCTCCCAATACATCCTCCAATTACAGCATCCCCAATACAGTCATCTCCCATGAAATCATCCTCAATACAGCAATCCTCATACACCTGATCCCCATAAATCTAATCCCCAATACAGCATTCCCTCATACCGAGCATCTCCACAAATCATTCTCCTACAGCACTCCCAATAACATCCATCCCCATACAGCTCATCCCCAATAAATCACAAAATACAGCATCCCCCAATAAACTCATCCACTCAGCACTCACATCCCCATTAACTCCCTACGCGATCGAATATACACTCCATCCCAAATTAAATCATCCTCCAATACAGCATCCCCCAATAATCAATCCCAATAAAATCATCCTCACTACAGGATACCCACATAAAATCATCACCCAATAAATCCTCCTTCATACTAGCTCCCCAACTACACTCCCCAAATACCAGCATTCATAATCATCCCAACTACAGCACCCACAATAATCTCATCCTCAATACCAGTCATTCCCCAATAAATACCTCAATTACAGCTATCCCCCAACTATTAAACCCATCTCCCAATAAATTCATCCATCAATTAAGCAAATCCCTAGCAATTTCATCCCAACAATATACCTCATAAACTCAGTACTATCCAATAAATCTAATCCCAAAATCATCCTCAATTAACAGGCCATCCCCAATAAATCTCTTCATACCGCATTCCCCACCATCTCATAATCATCCTCAAATCAGGGCACCCCAATAATCATCCTCCAATACAGCATCCAATAAATCATCCCAATCCATCCCCATAATCTATCCTACAGCACTCCAATTAAAATCTCCTCAATACGCATATCCCAATAATCTCATCTCATACAGCATTCCCAATAACATCCCATTCCTCTACAGCCTCCCCAATAAATCATCCTCACTACAGCTACCCCAATAATACTCCTCCAAACCAGAAGCGGTCTCCCCAATCAATCAGCTCAATCAGATCAATAAATATCCTCAATCAGCGATCCAATAAATCATACCCAACAATCCCTCTAATACAGCGGCTATCCCCACATACCTATCCCCCAATCACCTCAATGCAGATTCAATAAATCTATCCCCATAATCAATTCCTCAACACAGCCATCCCCAAATAAATCATCCTCAATCAGCCTCCCCCCCAATACACATCCCAACAAATCTATTCAATACAGCCCCATACAAATCATCCTCAATCACGCCATCCCCAATAATATATCATCCTCCAAATAACAGGCTATGCCCCACACTAAATCATTCCCCTCAATACACGCATCCCCAATAAATACCTCATACATGCATCCCCCAACCTCACCCTCCTCCACATAACAGCAATATCCAGACAAATCATCCCCCAATAAATCATCTCCTCTACACAGGCCATCCTCCAAACAATCACCCATAAACTCATCCTCAATACCATTCACCCCACACCATCCCAACTACGCATCCCCAATCCCGCAAGTACACGGCTCCCCAAACCATCCTCCCAACCCAGGCTATCCCCAATAAATCATCCTCCACTACCCTCCCAAAATCTACTCATCCCAACTAAATCATCTCCTTAACTACATCATCCCACCATACTAACATCCTCCAATACCGCATCCCCAATGCCCACAATAACATCCCCTCAATACTAGCATCCCAATAAAATCATCTCAACTACAGCAATCCCCAATAAATCATCCCCTCAATACAGCACTCTCTATCCTAAGACCAGGCATCAATGCAAGAGCAGCAATTCCTCCAAATACCTAACGCGACTCCTCAATACCAACCATCCACACACATCCGCTCCAATGAGTCACGAAACAACATCCCAAAAACCAGCATCAAAGCGAAAAAACAATCACCTCAAGTACATAGCATTCCCCAATACTATGCATCCTCAATCACGATCCCTCAACTACTCATCCCCAATATACACCGATCACACCCAACTAAATTCAATCCTCTCATACTAGACAAGATCCCCAAAGTGAGAATCATGCCATCAAAAACAGCAATCCGCAATACACTCAGCCTCAGAGATACGCATCCCCATAATCATCCTCAAGACGCACCCCCAATAATCATCCTCAATAGCAACGTCCCAATAAAACAATGCCTCACAAGATCAAGCAATCCCAAAAACACACATCCTAAAATACGACGATCCTCAATTACAATGCAGATCCGCAATTAACAGCTATCTCAATCGAAGAACAGCAGTCCCCAAGTACAGCATTCCTCAATACAGTCATCCCAATACACCATCCCCAAAATAAGATCATAGCGCTCGAGATACTGCATCCCCTAGGAGAATCATCTCAATACAATTCCCAATAAATCAATCTGGATACAGCATCCTGTCCAATAAACTCATCCTACTCAAGTACCCCAGCATCCCCAAATACAGCTCTCCTCACAAACAGCGATCCCTCAATACAGCCATGCCTAAAAACAGATCAGCAAACATTACACCATCCTTCAGGAGAGACACTCACTCCAACACACCATCTCACAAATACTCCACTCCCCAATACAGCATCCCCCTAGATAAAACACCTCAATAACGAAATCCCAAAGTACAGCATCCTCAAAGTAAGATCAGTGCTCCCACAAAACATAGCACAGCGTCACTCAATAACAGATCAAGATCCCAAAGATATCCACAACTCCACAAAAAAAATCATCTCCTGCGAATACAAGCCATCCCAAATACAAGCATCCTCATCAGACACCTAAACTCCCCAATTTAAATCAATCCTCCCTGAATACCAAAGCATCCCCAATAACAAATCACATCTCCACTACAGCATCCCCAATAAATCATCCATCCCAAACTACAGACATCCCCATCAACAATCCCACTCACACAAATACACAGCCAATCCCCAACTATACGACACCATCATCAAACTACCGACCATATCCATCCACAATACCACCATCACTCCAAACTACCAGACGCAATCCTCAATTACATGACATCCCACCAACCACACATACACCATCCTCCACACACACAGCACCACCAACTACACCCTCCACCCAACAACAACACGCCACCAATACAGCAATACCACACCAAAATACGATCCTCAACTACGCGAACCCCAATAATAATCATCTCAGATCACTAGCAATCCCCACATAAATCATCCTCAATACAGCTTCCCAATACCAAGCATCCTCAAAACAGCAACCTCAATACAGCTCAATCCTCAATATACAGCATCACGCTCAAATACAGCACCCCTAAAATACAACTCCTCCAACTACGCATGCCTCAAACTAGCTATCCCAATAAATTCATTCGCTCAATACACATCCCCAATAAATCATCCTCAATACAGCATCCCAATAAATCATCCTCAATACAGCATCCCCAATAAATCATTCCTCAATACAGCACCCAATAAATCATCCCAACAGCATCCTCAATACACCATCCCAATACACATCCTACACAATACACCATCCCCAATAATCATCCTCAATACCAGCCATCCCCAATAATATCATCTCACACAGCCATCCCCAATTAACAGCCATCACTCAATACAGCATCCTCAATAAACCATCCCCAATTACACCATCCTCAATACACTCCCCAATAATCATCTCAATACAGTCAATCCCCACAGAAATCATCCCAATACAGCATCCCCAATCACAGACCCCCAATAACATCATCCCAACACACCAATCCCCATAAATATTACTCAATACACCATCCCTCAATACAGAGCATCCCCAATTAACGTAATCCCAATAACATACATCTCACCAATACAGCCCATCCTCCAATAACACATCCCAATACAGGCCCCCAATATACAGCATCCAATACCACCATCCTCCTAATACACCTCCCCAAATAAATGCTAACCTCCAATTTACAGTACTAATCCCTCATACCGAGCATCCCCAAAACTAACCATCCTCAATATACAGCATCCCCAATAAATCATCCCCAATACAGCATCCCCATAACATGACTAATACCTCAACATAAGCATCACCCCATACACCATCCTTCATACCAATCTCACCGAATAACATTCATCCCAACAGCATCCCCAATTACTATGATAATCCCCAATTACACCAATCTGCAAGACACATCCCCAGATAAATCATCCCCAAGTACAGCATTCGCCCCAATACTACCGCCTCCCCAATTACCACAGACATCCCCTAGATCACATCCTCAATACACCATCTACACCATAAAAATATCTACCCATATAAACTCATTCACCTCTATACAGCAATTCCCCAATAAATCATACCTCACACTACAGCAATCCCCAATTAATCACTCCTCAAATACGCATCCCATATACAGCATCCCCAATTAAAATCATCCTCATACAGCCATCCCCAATATATCGATCCTCAATACAGCGTTCAATCCCCAATAAATCTAATCTCACAATACCAGCATATCACCAATATACACAGAATATATGCATCCCCAATAAATCATCCCCAATACAGCATCCCCAATAAATCATCCTCAATACAGCATTTCAATTAAATCATATCCCAATACACAGCACCCTCACAATATGTTAATATAATCATATCACCTGAGATACTGAGATCCCCAATAAATCATCCTCGCGAATTAACAGCATGCACCAAATAAATCATTCTCATACAATACAGTACATCCCAATAAAATTCATCCTCAATACAGCATCCAAAAAATCTTCCTTCAACTACAGCTTCTATTATCTCCATATATAATTACTCCTATCTAAATACAGTGCATACCCCAATATAATCTATATCATATCCAATACTATAGCTATTCTCTCAATTAAATTCAATACCTGTCAATAATCTTAACAGATCTCTATCAATAACATCTAATCCTCAATTACAGGTACCATTCGCCCAATAATCATCCTCAACTTACAGCTCCCCAATAAATATATCCTCAAATACAGCATCCCCAACTAAAATNNNAATACAGCATCCCAATACAGCATCCTCAACACAGCATCCAATAACAGCAATTCCTCAATACACACCCATCCTCAATACAGCAGTCCTCAATGACAGCATCCCCAATACACCATCCCCCAATACAGCCATCCTCAATACAGCAATGCCCCAATCATCCCCAATAAACCATCCCAATACACACATCCTCAATACACCATCCCAAATACAAGCATCTCAATACAGCATCCTCAATCACAGCCCCAATACAGCACTCAATACACCCATCCCCAATACACCATCCTCAATACAAGCATCCTCAATACACAGCATCTCCAATACGCCCAATCACCTACAGCATCCCAATTACAGCATCCCACGCATCCCAATACACCATCCCCAATACAGCATCCCCAATACAGCATCCCCAATACCACCATCCCCAATACAGCATCCTCAATCCCCAATACAGCAATCCCCAATACACCATCCCCAATACAGCATCCCAATACACCAATACATCATCCCTCAATACAGCATCCTCAATCCCCATCCCAGCATCCTCAATACAGCTCCCAATACACCCATCCCTCATACACATCCCCATACAGCATCCCCAAAACCATCCCAATACAGCATCCCAATACAGCCAATCCCCAATCACATCCCCAATACACCATCCTCAATACAGCATCCCCAATACACCATCCTCAATACACCATCCATCAATACACCATCCCCAATACAGCATCCTCAATACACCATCCCCAATACAGCATCCTCAATACAGCCATCCCCAATACACCATCCTCAATACAGCATCCCAATACAGCATCCTCAATAAACCATCCCCAATAAATCAAATACCACCAATCCATCCCAATACAGCATCCACAATACAGCATCCCCAATAACATCATCCTCAATACAGCATCCCCAATCATCCCAATAGCATCCTCAATCCCCAATACAGCATCCTCAATACAGCATCCCCAATCCTCAATACAGCATCCTCAATCCATCAACCCACCCATCCCCAATACAGCATCCTCAATACACATCCCCCAATCAACAGCACCTCAATACAGCATCCTATCAATTTCATCCCCAGATACACCATCCCCAATAAACAGCATCCTCAATACACATTCCCAATACAAGCATCCCCAATACAGCATCTCATACAGCAGCATACACCATCCCAATACAGCATCCCAATACAGCATCCCTCTACAGCATAATACACCATCCCCAATACAGCATCCCCAATACACATCCCAATACAGCAATACACCATCCTCGCAATACAGCATCCTCAATACAGCATCCTCAATACACCATCCCCCAATACAGCATCCTCAATACAGCATCCTCAATACACCATCCCAATACACCATCCCCAATACAGCATCCTCAATACACCATCCCAATACAGCATCCCCAATAAATCATCCTCAATAAGCATCCTCAATACAGCAATCCTCAATACAGCATCTCAATACAACCATCCCCAATAGCATCACCTCAATACAGCATCCCTCAGCATCATACACAGCATCCATCCCAATACATCCATCAAATACACCATCAATACATCCCCAATACAGCAATCCTCAATACAGCATCCCACAATACCATCCCCAATACACATCCCCAATACATCCATCCTTGATACAACCATTACCATCCCCCATACACCATCCCAATACCATACATCCCAATACACCATCCCAACAGCATCCCCAATACAGCATCCCCAATACAGCATCCTCAATACAGCATCAATAACACCATCCCCAATACACCATCCCCAATACACCATCCCCAATACACCATCCCCAATACACCATCCCCAAAACACCATCCCAATACACCATCCCCAATACACCATCCCAATACAGCATCCCAATACAGCATCCCCAATACACCATCCTACACCATCCCATACAACCACCCCAATACCCATCCCCAATACCATCCCAACACACCATCCTCAATACACACATCCCAATCCCCAATACACCATCCCAATACCATCCCCAATACACCATCCCCAATACAGCATCCCCAATACAGCATCCCCAATACAGACCCCAATACACCATCCTCGCACCCATCATCCCCAATACACCATCCCCAATACACCATCCCCATACACCATCCCCATACACCACCCCTAATACACCATCCCAACACACCATCCCCAATACACCACCCCCCCAATACACCATCCCCATCACCATCCCCAACACACCACCCCCCAATACCATCCCAATACACCATCCCAACACACACCATCCCCCCCAATACACCATCCCCAATACACCATCCCCAACACACCATCCCCCCCAATACACCATCCCCAATACACCATCCCCCCACCAATCCCCAATACACCATCCCCACACACATCCCCCCAATACACCATCCACAATACCCCAACACACCATCCCCCCCCAATACACCATCATCCCCAATACACCATCATCCCAATACACCATCCCCCCAACACACCATCCCCAATACACCATCCCCGAGTCACAGAGGCAGAGATATTGACTCGTGTGCAAGGCAAGTGCGAGCGAGGCAAGCTTGGAGTGAGAGGCAAAAGCAAGCTCGTTGGACGAGACTTGCTCCCGTTTGAAGATGGCAATTTTTTTTTGGTTTTGTTTAGTTTTTTGTTTTTTTGGGGGGGTGGGGAGGAGGAGGAGGAGGAGGAGGAGGAGGAGGGAGGAGGGAGGAGGGAGGAGGAGGAGGGAGGAGGAGGGAGGGAGGGAGAGGGAGGAGGAGAGAGAGAGAGAGAGGGAGAGAGAGAGATAGAGAGAGAGATAGAGAGAGAGAGGAGAGAAAGAGAGAGAGAGAGAGAGAGAGAGAGAGAGAGAGAGAGAAAAGAGAGAGAGAGAGAGAGAGAGAGAGAGAGAGAGAGAGAGAGAGAGAGAGAGAAGATAAGGAGCGAAAGAGAAAGAGAGAGAAGAAAAGAAAAAAAAAAAGAGAAAGAGAAACAAAGAGAAACAAATAAAGAACAAAGATACAGAGACAAACAAAAGCAGACAGACAGAAACAGAGGAAAATACAAAAAAAAAAAAAAAGTAAAATACAATGAAAGAGAGGGTATGCAGGTGTCTCTAGAACCCCATCCGGATATAACAGCTTGTACGGCCGTTAGAAAAGGGTTACGTTCACTCAACGTATAAAATACAGTATAGCTTTTAGCAGCCCTGTCTCTGCTTCCCAGTCAGTAACAACGAAAGTATTTTCCAGATGTTTTTTTTTGGTATAATAATTTACAATATATGCAACACTCTATACCAAAAGTAGGAATTATGGGTATACAAAAAAAAAAAACGTTTCTAAAGATACAAGGAAGAAGAATTTTATGTAGATTTTTATTTTTATTATTGTGATTATGATTATTGTTGTCATTAATAATATCATCATTATCTTTAATATTATCATCAATACTATTATGATTATTATGATCATTATCGTTATGAGCATTATGATTCTCATTATTGATTTTTTTTTTATTATCATCATCATTGTTATCATTATCGTCGTTTTGTTTATTATCATCATTATCATTGTTATCATTATTATCATTATCATCATCATCATAATCATCATTATCACCATTACTTTTATTACTGTCATGATCATTATCATCATCCTTATTGTCATTATTATCATCAAAATCATTAATATTATCATTCTGCCCTAAAATCATACGCTAAGTAAAGCCTACCCTCTTTAGGCCTTAATGGATGAGCTCATCTGTAATTCGTGATAGGCCTATGTAGCAGACCGGTCATTCCTTGTTGTGCGTGTCTGATTGGTCTTCGTCTTTTCCTTTGTTATCTGCGGTTCCCTTTTGTTGCTTTTTTGTCTCGACTTTTTTTTCATTATGATTCGTTGGCTTTCTCTTTGTCTGGCTGTCTTTCTGTCTCTTGCTCTCTCTCTCTTTCTCTCTGCCTGTCTGTCTGTCTCTCTCTCTCTCTCTCTCTCTCTCTCTCTCTCTCTCTCTCTCTCTTCTCTCTCTCCTCTCTCTCTCTCTCCCTCTCTTTCTCTCTCCTCCCTCCTCCTCCCTCTCTCCCTCCTTCTTCCTTCTCTCCCCTCCATCTCCCTTCCTCCCCTTCCCTAACCCTCTCTCCCTCCTTCCTTCCTCCTCCCTCTTCCCTCCTTCCCTCTCTCCCCTCCATCTCCCTCCCCTTCCCTCATCCCCTCTTTTTCTACCCAACCCACTTCGAACCCTCTCTTCACCCTTCCCCAGCAACCTACAGCCAACAAGGCAACAACACCCGGTGCAAATTAACTCAAAATAAAATCCACGTTCCAACGCATTCGTAGATCAGCTGTTTTCTCCGACTGCGGCCTTCCCGTTCGCAGAGGCATAAGCTCCCGCCAACGTTTGATCTCGAAACGTTTGTTGTTCGGCTTCGACATTCTCCCGAGCGCCACGTGTCTGTTATGGGGGTTTTACTTCCAAATTGCCCTGTCTATCAGCTCGTTGGACGGGGGAGAGCGGGGTGGAGGCTGCGCTTGTAGGGAGTTTGAGAACTGGCTGTGTATTTCGAGTGTGTTTCTCCTGTGGAGGGTGGTTTTCGGTTTTTCCTGTGAATGTTTTTTGGGGGGGCTTTTGTTTTCTTTTCCTGTGGTTGGTGGTTTTATATTTCTCGTGATTTTTTTTCTGTGGAGGATGATTTTCTGTTTCTCCTGTGAATGATATTATTATTTATTTATTATTATTTTTTTTTTTTTTGCTTGTTTTCTTTCCCTGTAGCTGGTGGTTTTATATTTCTCTTGTGAATTATCTTTTTTTCTTATTCTTTTGTTTTTATTCCTGTGGAGGGTGATTTTCTGTTTCTCCTGTGAATGATCTTTTTTTTTTTGCTTCTGTTTTCTTTCCCTCTAGCTGGTGGTTCTGTATATCTCTTGAAAATGATCTTTTCTTTTTCTTTTTCTTTTTTTTCTTAAATTTCTACTGTGGAGGGTGGTTTTCTGTTTCTCCTGTGAATCATCTTTTTTTTTGGGGGGGGGCTTTGTTTTCTTTTCCTGTGGCTGGTGGTTTTATATTTTTCTTGTGAATGATCTTTTTCTTCTTATTTCTCCTGTGGCTGGTGGTTTTCTATTTCTTCTGTGAATGACTTTTTTTTATTTCTTCTGTGGTTGGTGCTTTGCCATTTCTGTGATTTTTTTTTTCTGTGGCAGGTGATTTTGTATTTTTCCTGTAAATGATAAAGAAAAAATCTCTGTGGCTGGTGGTTTTCTATTTCTCTTGTGAATGATCTTTTATTTATTTTTTTTCATTTCTTCTGTGGCTAGTGGTGTCCTATTTCTCCTGTGAATTATTATCTTTTTTTAAGTTCCCCCTGTGGATTGTTTTTTTATTACTCCTGTAGCTGATAATTTTACTTCTCCAATGTTTTTTTTCTATTTTTTATTATATTTGATATGTATGTAATGCTTAAGTGATACAGTGATTAACAAAATTGTTGTTACTTTCCTGATGTCTTTTTTTTCCTTTTTTTTGCTATTTTTCATTCCATTTAATATGTATGTAATGCTTAAATAATACAATGATGAACAAAATTGTACTCTTTATCGGTCTTCTTTCACTGTACCATTTTATTTACCTGTAATATTGTTACATTAGTTTTCTTTTAGTTACATTGATATTTGAGGGATGACTATATTTTGTTATTGTTCCATTATTTGATATTGTTCCATGATACTTTTGATATTGTTCCATTATTTGATATTGTTCCATGATACTTTTGATATTGTTCCATTGCTTGGTATTGTTCCATGATACTTTTGACACTTACATTATTTAACATTGTTCCATGATACTTTTGATATTGTTCCATTATTTGAGGAATGACTATACCTGTGATATTGTTACATTAGTATTTAAGGGATGACTATACTTTGAAAAGATTACTTAGCATACTTTTAACTGCATATTTGATGCGGAAGAAGGAAAAAATGAATAACATATGCGATTTAGAACAAGGGAATAGAGCGAGGGCGAGCAGTGAAAAGAGAGAAAGGTGTTATTCCTGAAGAACAGTCATCTGATGAACAAAGAACATCTTTCATTGGTGCAAGAGATGTATTTGAACGGTTTCGATTATATATTCGTCGGGTGTACATGAACAATTATATGAGTGAGAGAAGGATTGTGAGAGTGAGAAGGGTAGAAGGAGAGAGAGAGAGAGAGAGGGAGAGAGAGGGAGAGAGAGAGGAGAGAGGAGAGAGAGAGAGAGAGAGAGAGGGAGAGAGAGAGGGAGAGAGAGAGAGGGAGAGAGAGAGGGAGAGAGAGAGAGAGAGAGAGAGAGAAAGAGAAAGAGAAATAGGAAGAGAAAGAGAAAGAGAAAGAGAAAAAGAAAGAGAAAGAGAGAGAAGTAGAAAGAGAAAAAAGAGAGAGAGAAAAAAGAGAAAAAAGAACGAGAACACACACACAC